CTGGGGACTTGAGGACAGAAAGGAGGATGCCAAGAATTCTATCCTCTTGCTTCAGGCAGAAATGGCAGCAGATGGGGCCCTAAAAGAGCCCAAATCCCTAGGGCATTCCAGGAGCAGCCCAGGGTGATGGCAGTACCGTCGCCCACCTGCCTGGACAGCCACAGCCCACAGGCCAGCCTGACGCTGCCTCCCTCGGCCCATCTCTACACAGGCAAACTTGGAAAGTAAAATGCATTCTGGCTCCCCTGATGACGCCTCAGTGGCTTCCAGACACCTGAGGTGGCTCGCCTCTGGCCTCGGCTCCAGTCACACTGCTCTCTCAACACTGGATCCTTCCCTCCTCAGGGCCTTTGACTTCCTGCTCTTGCTGCCTGGAAGGCTTCCCCAGCTGGCAATGCGCTCCCACCACTCGGTGTGAACGCACCTCTGTGGATCGGCTTTGCTGAGCGCTTCTCCCGCTGCTGCCCTCCACCTGCCCCCAGTGGGCCTGACTCACAGTGACCCTGCGTGGGTCAGAGTAGAACCATGCTTCACAGAATTTTCAGACTGTGACCTTTCGGAAGGAGATCACCAGGACTTTCTTCCAAGGTGCCTCTGGGTGAACCTGAATGGTCAACTTTTTGGTTAGCAACCAAGCATGTTAACGGTCTGTACTGCCCGAGGACTCCTCCCCCTGCCCCCGATCTTTCTTCCATCTCTCTATTCACAGCACACACACTGACAACCATCCTGTTGTGTGTCGTCTGTCTTCCCTACTAGACTATAAGTTTCTTGTGCATGACATGGCACGCAGCCAGTGGTAATCAGTGTCTGCATGAATGCTCTCCAAAGGCTGTTGGTCACCCGAGACCTTGGGTCCTTACAGGTCTAGCACCTCAGGGCTGGGGAAGCAGCAGGTCTTTCCCACCCATGGAGGAGGGGTTAAGGTTCCTGCCAGGGCTGAGACAACCCAGATCCAGCACATGGCCAGCCTCCCTGCCCCCACCTACCCGTGGATTCTGCGTCCTGTTCCCCTGTGGCAGGAGGCTCTAGTGAGGGCTGGCAGTGCCCAGGTTCAGCTGTGCGCTGGTCTTTCTCCTGTCCAAATGAACACTGTCCTGGTGCCTTTATACCCTGATTAGGGCCCAGGGGATTCTGAGTAAAGGTTCCAGGGAGCAAGACTGTGACCAACAGGCCAGTGGCTAGAGTCAGGCACCACCCGTCCTGGCATCAGCCTTGGGTGAAGGGATGGGCTGCCTGTCTGGTTTCCGAGAGGCACCAGATCTGTCTTCAGGAAACTGCTCCTGCCCTGTGGCCTGTTACCACCTGTGCCTTCTGCCCAGGCTGGAGAACTGGCCTGAACCTGTTCGTGTGGTTCAGGGAGGCCAAGGAGGGAAAGGGCCTGTTAACAAACATGCCATTCTTGGAAGACCTCTGACCTGTCTCCCTGTCCTCCTCCTCACCCAGCTCCCCTCCCCTTGCCCCACTGGGTCCACTCTTCCCAGGCAGGTCATGGCTATGCTCGCTTTACAATGGGTCCTTTCTCCAGTATGGCTCGTGTCAACAGCAGGCTTGAGTCCCCACTCCAGTGTGGCCCACAGGCTGCCCCTGACCTGCTTTGTCAGAATCGGCAACTGAAAGGCATGCAGCTCTGTGGCTGGCCCATGGGCCTCAGTGACCTGGAGTTCCAGCTCCAGCCCCAACAGACACTCTGAGTGAGGCCTGTCACTGCACCTGGGACTGTTTCCCCATTTGAAAAAAAACACATTCAGCGACATTATCTGTGATAGCTGGAGTTATGTGTCAACTTAGCTGGAGCTGTGTGTCAACTTAGCTGGACCACAATTCTGTGTGGTTTAAGAGGTTGTGATGTGGTTATTCCTATGATGGGATCAGATGAATACGTTCTGAGCAGCCAATCCATTGAAAGGGAGTTTCCCTAGGAGTGTGGTCTGCTTCCAGTATATTTATGGACATCCTAGGAAAAGAGATGCTCTCTGTGGATCAGGATTCTGTTGTGCTGCCTACAACTGTCCGTGAGTGAACAATCCACCATTCGGCCTGGAGATCTTGGATTTGTCATTCGTTGTGAGTCAACAGCCAGTATACTGCCTGCCAACCTCCTCAGTCCCTACAGCTGAAAGAGGCAGGAAAAGCCTCCAGCTTGACGTTTGATCCAATAACTTTGGACTTGACAGCTTCTGTAAGTGTGTGACCCATATTCCTAAGATAAATTTCTCGTTCTCTCCCTATATAAGCTTTACTGGTTTTGTTTCTCTAGAGAACCCAGTCTAACACAATTTGGTACCAAGAGAGTGGGGTGCTGCTCTGACAGATACCTAAGATGTGGAAACAGGAGTGGAGTGCGTCCTTGACCTGAGACCCTGGCAGAGACCCTGGCATACGGCATGACAGACGGCAGGAGCAGAGCAAGAGACCGGCATGAGAGATGGCAGGAGCAGAGCCAAGAGAACTGGCGTGAGACAGTGACAGCCTTACCAGCCCATGAAGAAGAAAGCTTGATGCCTTTCGTTAGGCAGCTTACTGGCAGAATGGGTAGCCTTTGGGCATTAAATGGTAGAAAAGACCAGCATGAAATGGAGTAGCAGGTTGGCCAGCCCATGGAGCAAGAAAGCTGAGTGCTTTTGGGCAGGGTTTTCCAGCGGAGTGGGTTGCCTTTGGCATCAATTGGCAGAAGCAGAGAGACCAAGGAAATGGAAGCAGAGCTGCCTCAGCCTGAAAGGGTAGGACCATGGCCTTTGGGGGTGGAATGACCAGAGCCCCCTAGGAGTCAAAGAGCCAGGCCTTCACCAACTTGGTTCTGGAGTGTGGGGCTGCTCGTTCATGTGAGCCAGTGGGATGGAGCCATAGCCACTGCCCAAGAGAGAGGGGGTGGGGCTGTCACGCCCAAGAGGCAGGGGAACAGGGCCCACCAGGCCAATTGGTGAGGTCACCACTTAGGGGAACTGGGGGACTGGAGCCACCCAGTGAGAGAGACCTGTATAGATACCACCCATTGAAGATCTGTACAGGTGCCAAGTTGACAAGGGGTGGAATTATAGTGGTTATGTTTTTGTGTCAACTTGGCTAGGCCTGATTAAGTGGCTGGGCAGCTGGATGTAGTTAGTATTCCCCATGATGAGACTGGTAATCAACTCCATGGTGGAATCTACTGTGAGCAGTGAGTAGCTGCCTTTGGGTTTGTGGTCTGCTTCCCATATATAAGCAGCAGCTTTGGGAATGATCTCTAGCTTATGGCACGGTTGGACCCTGCATGTAGCCGTGTCATTGTTCAGCAGCAGCCTGCCATGCTCTGCCAACGTGGGGGCTTACAATGGACTTAAATGGCCTGCCGTGTGGTTTGGTAACATTGGGACTGTGCCTTTTTACTTCTCAACCTTGGGCTTGGCAGCTTCAGCAGCCAGCAGTTGTCTGAGTGAAGAAAAGCTTCTAGCTTCAGTGGGCTGGGAACTGGAAGCAGAGCTGAAGCCCAAAGCTGAGGGGCTTTCACCCAGCTCTTAGAGCCTGGCACTTTGAACTTGGACTTAAATCCACCTGAACTATAAGAGAATAAACTCCTGTTTGTTAAGGCCATCCCATCTTTGGTATATATTCTTGTCAGAGTGGCACTAGGTAACCAGAACACTATCCATCCTCAGGGTGACCCAAGCAGGGGTTGCATGAAAGAGCTTTAAACGTGAAGGCCCCAGGCAGGGCCAGACAAGGGGCTCCTGGTTTTCTTTATTCCTTCCTCTTCCAACTACTTAGATAACCCACACCAAAGTGAACAGCTGCAGGCACCAGTCCATGGCCACAGCACCCCAGTGGGGCTACATCATTGGGAAACCTAGCCAAGGTATGGCATGGACACCTGTCTCCCACAACACCCAGCATGGTGGGCAGTTGTTGAGTGTTGCCATGCAGGACCCATGCACCAGACATGCAGTCTAACCACTGGGGCCTCTCCTCCCACAGGGTGTGCAGGGCATCCAGGACCCAGGCTGGCTAATCCACACCTCCCAGTCCCCCCGGACACAGGGATAGTTCAGGGTTTACAGCCTATGAGGTACAGGGGATGGGCTGGACTCCTGCTCCTCCCCTGCTGAACCCTAGTCTGACAGTGTAAAGCCCAAAGCTGCTGCCACCGTGACAAGGGCAGAACGTGGGGGCCACCTGAAGGGCAGCAGATCTGTGAGACCAGGAGGGAGAGATGATCTTGGCCACACTGCTTCAGCCCCTGCCCGAGACCCTGATCAGCAGGAACACTTCCATACTTTCCAACCACCTGAGTCGATAATCTTCCTTTTTTATTAAGTCAGCGTAGGGAGAGTTTCTATCACTTGCAAGCAGGAACCCTAACAGAAAACAGTGCTATTGCCACCTGCTGTGAGAGACCACAGATCCCAGAGGCAGCCTTGATACCTGGAGAGATTGGAGATGAGGCCAAGTCCTCAAAGGCCACCTGGGCAGTGGGGGCTCAGGCTGCAGTCCCCTGGGCCTGGGGGCGCCTGCAGCAGGTGGTTCTGGGTGAGGACTGGCTGGACCAGCAGGGCAGGTGAGTGGACCCCAGCACAGTGGACAGGCAGGCCTTGGTTTCCTGCAAGCTTCCAGGACTCATGCTTGACCCTGGGGTGTGCTTGTCCAGACGGGAAGCCTCAGAGAGCAAGGACTCCCACTCCAGTCCTCTGTCTTCCTTCTGGGCTCCAGGCCCCTCTGGTCGGTCCCCAGTATGCCCAGGTTACCAGGGGTCATCTGATTCAAGGGGTTGTGTGCCGCTTTAGTTATAATCTATAAGGCTGAGAAATGAGCATTATAGAGCCTAAGTGCTTTGGGTTTACTGATGGAAAGATGACAGCCTGAAGTGGGACTAGAAGGCTGCTAATGTCCACTGTGCCCACCCATGCAGTGTCCTTGAGGGACACTGAAGAACTGTGGGAACTCTGGACGCTGCATCCTCATGAGGCTGGGGCAGTGCATTTACTCGGATGTAGATGTGACTAGTAAGTCCCTGTAGGCCTGGGGTCAGCTGTGGAAGGACGACCAGGAGATGCCCGAGGCATAGAACTCCACGTGGCTGGGCCAGTCACCATCCCCACCACTCTCTTTGTCCTCATCCGAGTCGTCGTCGTCCCCACTGGATGCTGTTAAGACAGCCCCGGCCGGATGCACTGGCTGTTCCAGGGGCTCCCTGCCCTGCTCTTCCTCCTCCTTGAGCTTCTGGGCGGCCAGCTCGCGGTAGCAGAGGCTGCAGACGCGCAAGGGCTTGGATGAGAGCCGCGGCAGGAGGAAGCGCTCCCGGGAGCACTCAGCACAGACCACGAAGCCACACTTGCGGCAGTGGTGGCGCCGCGTGAGTGCTGAGAAGCGTGTCTGCGTGCAGCGCATGCAGATGTCCGTGGCCTTGTCAGGGATCCAGGGTGCCGCGTGCTCTGTGGTGGGCTGGCGGCCCGTGGCCAACAGCTGCCGCCGCACACACTCTTCAATGTGGCTGATCCACTCCTGGCGCTCTGTCAGGGAGGCAGCCGACACCACGAAGGACTTCTTGGCCGTCTTGATCATCCAGCGGTTCTTGGCCTGCAGGGTCTCGGGAAGCGGCTCAAGCGTCACCTCCTCCAGTGGAATGATGTGCTGGTTCCGGTACTTGCGCTTACTAAGCACGATGCTGCCGTACACCAGGATGTCATTGAAGAGGAAGAAGATGCGTGGCTTGGCCTTCTTGCGGCACTCCTTGGTCAGGACGCCCTCGCCCAGCAGCACGCGGCCTGGCAGGGCCAGTGGCTGCCCCGATGCCCCAAAGCAGCTCTCCACAGCTGCAATTCGCTGGCTGTTGATCTCCGTGTTTGCCAGGTGGTCCACCATCTTTGCTGGCTGCTGGGCTCTAGAGGGAGAGGCAGACAAGGAGGCATCAGCTTGCCCAGGCACAGCTGGCTGATCAGAACACCAGCACCACCCACCCACCCATCCACCAAACCAAACAACCCGTAACCAACTTATCACCCTACTGCAGTCCAGCAAGACCACCCTATGAACCACAATTTAAACAAAAAGAAAGAAAAGAAAAAAGACCATGCATGCACCAAACAATGGGTGCCACATCTGAGTGTCTGCAACCCCATCCAACCACTAACCAAACCAAATCTTCACTGACCCTGCAACCCAACCACTCACTCAATGAACCCAATGGTTTCCACCACCTGAGTGCTTCCTCCATACCAAGCATTATCTCATTTAATCCTCACACCCACACCACTTTACAGAAAAGACACCAAGGCACACAACCCTGCCAACCATGCTGCTGCACTGCCTTCCCCCACAGAGCATGAGGTCCAGTCTGACTCCTCTGCTGGTCTAGTCTGTCCTCCTCTACATGAGTGCTACATGTTGGAAGCCTCAGAGGCCCTCTCACCCCCATTCTGGGCTGACTACACACACCCTTTCAACCCAACGTCTCCATGGCATTGGAGATCACTCACTCCCTAGGACAGAAGTCATCAGACTATGGCCTGAAGGCCAAACCCCAAATCTGGCCAGCCTCCTATTTTTGTAAATAAAGTTTTACTGGCACACAGCAAATCATATTCATTTACTCATTCATGAATGAAGCTACTCTGATGCTACAATGGCAAGAGTTGAGCAGTGATGACGTAAGGCCTAAAATATTTATTATCTGGCTCTTGAGTGAAAAAGTTTGCTGATCACTTCTCCCTACTCTACTCTAAGTTTTGCAAGAACAGAAATTAAAAAAAAAAAAAAATTATTGTGATTCAGGTGCAAATTTACAAAAATAGATTTGTTTTACTTTCAACAGCTCACACACTTAGTTTCATGGCACCAACTACAATCTCAACAATAACCAGACCCCCTCCCACCTTCTTCCTGAGACTACCCCTTCCCTGAGTCCTTCTCGGGGTGTCCTTCTCATGTGTGTATTCCTGTCTGTCCAGCTTTCCCTCTATGCAAACGCTGCCCTTCTGCTGTCTCACGGTTGACTGATCTAAGGAGATGCATCTTCCTGGGGTAGGTGTTCTGCTCATAGGCCTTTTTCTACTGTTTGGCTGAGAGCTAATCCACACAAGTAAGGCAGTTCCAGGCCTGAAGGATAAGCCGGGACCACAGTCTGGGCTGTGTTTGTGTTGGGGAAGTTTCACCAGTCTCTGTCCAACCAGTAATTCTGGTCATTTTTGAAGAACAGAAGCATTTTTTGTCACTGCTGTATGCTCAAGCCTTGGAACAGTGCCCAGCATGCAGTAGGTGCTTATTAAGTGGCTAGTGAATGAATGAACCTTTCCTCGGCTCTGACTATGGTCTGACCATGTATGAGTCAGCTCTTACCTCTGAAGAGGAAGTAGGTAAGCGCTGCACCACCACCCCCAACCACCGTGTGCACACGCGTGTACAGGCCACACAGCATGCCCTGGCCTGGCTGTTCACACACACAGTGTTTCTGGGTCACCGAGCTGCAGTTCCGTAAGTCAAGCCACCTGGGAAGCCAGAGGGGCCCCAGCGCGGGGGCTGGAGGCATTGCACAAGAGGGAGGCTGGGCCCCCTGAGTCACGTCCCACTGCCCCTTTGAGACCACAAGGCGGCCTGAGGACTGCTGCCCACACCACCTTATGTAAGAACCACTATTTTTAGGTGGCTGATCTTGGCTGCCTATTGCAAACCTAGTGGATTATCAGGGACAGTGCTGGGTTTGTTCAGCCATGGCTCATCACCAGGTCTGCGGACAACCCAGCAAAAGCACGATTTTCTCGCATGACATGTCTGACTGTCACTCCGAGTGCCATGGGAGGGTGCCCTGAGATGGCTAAGATAAGGTTTCTGCCGCAGAGGAGCTCAGAATGCTGCAGAAGGGGCCTCCAGAGGGTGGTGACGGCAACCTTCTGTGCACTGTGTGAAACGGAAAGACCCAGAGACCCAGAGACAATGTAAATGCCTACCTCAAAGAATAAAATGGCGTATCCAGACACTGGGAGGCTGTCAGTGGAGACACTGAAGGCACTGAACCTAAGGTGATGGCACCCAGCAGAGGCCGAGTGAAAAACTGCTAACTGTAGAGCGCGTGCGCAATGTGACACCATTTATGTAGAAATTACAAAACACTTTTTTTTTCCCTTT